TGCCACGCTACTGCTACTGCTGCTGCCACTGCTAGTGCTACTGCTGCTGCTGCTGCTGCTGCTGCTGCTGCTGCTGCTGCTGCTACCTCTTGCTGCTCCTGCTCCTCCTGCTCCTCCTGCTCCTGTTCCTGCTGCTGCCATAGTATCATGTTTGTAGTAGTAGTAGTCGTCGTCGTCGTCGTCGTAGTGGTCGTGGTAGTGGTAGTAGCGGAAGGAGTAGGACTAGGAGTAGGAGTAGGAGTAGGAGTAGGAGTAGGAGTAGGAGTAGTAGCAGTGGTAGTAGTAGTAGTAGTAGTAGTAGTAGTAGCAATAGTAGTAGTGCTGCTACGACGACGACTACTACCGCCACCTGCTGCAAAACCTACGACTACCGCCGCCACCGCCACCTCCAGCACCACCATCACCAAACCAACCTGAAGACAAAAGAACCCAGGCAAAGAATAGAAATATAAAGAAATCTCGAATGACCATCGTGAATTGTGCAGACAATGTCCAGAAACTCACCGTACGTGTCATACAGGCTTGATGTTGTCTGTGGTTGTGACTGCTTGAGGGATTGCCTTCGAGGCAAACAGGCCCTCACTGAAGCGCCCCTTGCTGCTTGCCCCTGTATTTTGGGCCTTGCCATTGCAAGGAGTGCAAGGCTGTCGACAATCACACTTTCGGCTTGGTCTTGTCGTATTCAGGGACATTGCCCGAGATTGGTTCGCGCTTTCTCCAGACAGCTGCGTTCCAGCAGAGCCAAGAAAACCATGTTGTGCTGTAGACAGTCGTCCCCTCTGCCTCCTAAAGCATTTCCAGGCTATGGAGCGTCAGCGCAAGGAGGAGGCACTGGAAGCCGAGAAGGAGCGAAAGAGGCCCGAGTTTGGTCGGGTTTTCGGAATTGCTGAAGGCTGCGGGAGGTGTGCCATCTTAAAGGGTTACGGGTGCAGTATGGGTTGTGACCCCCTCGCTTCGGGCACGTCTGACGGATCCCAAGCATACTTTTTTGAGATCCTCTTACATATGCCGCAGCGGGCGCCGTTGCTCGGCTTGGCCATCGGGGCAGAAAAAACCTGCTGAGACATAGCTTTGGTGCACCAGGCCCCAGCACACATAACCGCTCAGCTCCACTTTCTGAGGCAAGAGGAGGAGAGAAAGCGCCGCGAGGCTGAGAAGCAGGCCCCGGTCCTAAAGAAGGGGAATCGGATGGAATGGGAGCTTGGAACTGCCAGGAGCAGCGCAAGAGGGAGCTGGAGCTGCAGAAGAACATGGAGGTGTCAGGGCCCTTGGAGGACGAAGCCCCGTGTCCGGGGACATGTCTCAAACTGTACTGAGGTTGGAGCAGATGAAGAAGCAAGCCGAACAGAAGGCCAGCAACCTCAAGGCCGACGCTTCTTCTCGGGCTCTGGTCTCCTGTGGATTCACGAGTCACTCTTCCTACACAGAGTGAAGTCTTAAACGAGGCAGGTGAAGCCTTCCCTGTTGTCGTTGGACGTCGAAGCACTGTGCCGAGTGATGACGGAATCACGGCGTTCTTCCGCACTGCTGACTGTGCCATCAACCGACGGCACGATGCAGGTCGCCGGAAAGAAGATTTCAGAGTGGATGCCTGAGCCACGCTTTTATTGGAGTCGGTTATTTCTGACTGCGAGCTTTGGCAAGTGTTAAGTTTTGCGCACACACACCCACACCCACACAAACAGTCTCTGAGAATAAGTCAAAATTTTGCATCTCAGACATCTGAGTAGGCAAGAGCACATATACACTCATACGCAAACAGACACGCAACCCCACACGCACACCCATGCCCTTGCCCAACCATCCCAAGCCCACGCACAAGGCGGTCGTGTGCATATGCAGGCACACGCAAGCTGACAATGGCGTGTGCATGGGGGTGCCCGAGAAGTGTCAGAGAAGTGGCCTGTGTCTTCCCACCATTGACTGCGATCCTTGATATCCAAGACATGTCCCGTGCTGATGCAGACATTCATTGCATCCAGACTCCAGAGGATAGAGGGTGAAAAGTAGATTCGCGGCTGGTCAGTCTGCCTGTGCGAGACAGCGCGCCCACCACTTCAGCATCCTGAGAGTGACAGCACTTCCCAGTAACGAATGCCGTCCGAGCCTACGTACAACGCATGCAACACGAGAGATCTCTGCTCCCAGGATTGAGGCCGATGACTTGACCAACATCAGCCGAGTCCTTGGCAATCGCAGTTACGTCGTTAATTATGTTGTGGCAGCACGTGAGGCACGTAGCGGTGGCAATTCTAATAACGATGTAGATTGTTGCTTGATTTGGTGATCGTCTGCTCGGATGGCATGATTTTTGAACAGGCTTCGATCAGATCGAAAAGGCGCGTGAGGCCCAAGTGTTGAAGGAACGACAGGACGGCTGCGCCGGTGATATGGTTGCATAATGTCGCACATGGTCTCGCTAAGATTTTCTTCAGGGCCAGGCAGATGATTCTTCGGAGATGCTGGGGGAGAATTAGCAGTCTTGAGACGTAGTGCTGTTCCAAACAGTTTCGAACATGTCTGTAGATTTAGTCCCCAATGCTTGCTTGCTTCACCGAGCACGCGAGTTGACGGCGGCCAACAGTGAGTGCACTGGGCCACTCATCGAGTGCACCTTGTTTTGGGCCTCTAGAACAAAAGCTACTTCACCTGCATGTGCCGACCATGAGCGTGATACAGCAATGCTAGTTGGCTAGTTCCAGAACAGCCTCAGCCTGCAAGTGGAGTTCATCTCCAGAACCGCAGAAAGTAGTACTCTTAAGGACCCCGAAGCGGATCCTCAAAGGAGTCCCTGGATCCACGAGAGCCTGTAGGTGCCAGCATAAACCGTTACTATAATGCTTGCTGGACGGGTTACTATAAAATAGCCATACTATAGCAGCTTCTACACTGTATAGTGGTACCATAAAACTTGTTGTGAGGGGTTCATCAAAGTTTGTGCCCAGTCCTCTGTTTGCACGTCAGTTCTCGTTCTGTGAGGACAAGATCCGCCAGCGCAAAGCCGAAAGCAAACGCCGCTTCTCTTGAAGATGTGTTTCGACTCTCACTCTCGCGCTCGGCAGGCAAGGCTCCTCACATAATGTGTTGAAAGAATATAATACGGGGTAATTACAGGCGTTAGGGTTTAGGGCTCAGCGAAGAAAGACAGCGGACGAAATTGGTTCAAAAGATGAGACATGTTGAGACCACAGGCCAGCAAGGCGGCATTTCTTTTTTGCCTGTGACGTTTTTGACACACGGTGCTCTGTAAGGTGTCGATCACCTGGCCCGTGCCTTGCGTGAGGAGGCCCGCTGGGCTCCTTTGCTCTTGATAAATTAGCTCGAAGTGGAGGCGACGGGACTGTGTTTCGATTGATCACTGGCTCTGTTTCGCTCTTATGGCCACCCGATCTCACGAAAAAGGAGGCAGCTTCTCTGAAGCAGTGGGCGGCGGATGTCGAGAAAGTCGATGCGGAACAGTCCCGGTCTGAGGGTGGCTTCCGAAAAGCTTGAAAGCTTGCCGCCGGGATGGAGTGTGGTATCACGATCGCCCTCAAGGTTGGAGAAGTTCGAAAGCGCCAAGCAGGAGGAGCAGCGCAAGCAGCATCAGAATTTGTCACGGCCTTGGCTGCCGTGTCTTGAGTCAGTGCATCAGACCTTGCCTGGGTTCACGTTAGAGATGCAATCGTGCTCCTTCCGTGCAGTTCGCCTCCAGGCTGAAGGAAAAGGAAGAGCTGCTGCCGTTTCAGCACGTGAGGGACTGTTTGCTTTCTTGAGTTCCATGCTGCGGGGCACGTTGTTGCCCTGACCATTGGAGGGCACCTTCCGCAATGCCAATATCGAGTAGATCCAGTTTCTTAGGAGAGAGACGAGGGCAGTGCTGCATTTTCGGTTCGGTGTTAGCATGCACACGTCATGACGATCTTGCTGACCGCTCTTGCGGTTGTTAGTCTTCCATGACACTATCTTCGGCACCCCGTTTCTCTTTGTGCCAGTTACACCAATATCAGTCCCCGCGTGCCAATCGCAGGATAATTGGGCTGAGGAGCAACTGGAACCCCGACGTCTCCTGGCAGCACTGAAATTGCTGTTGGTGTTGGTCTTCTTTTGTTCTGGTTCCACAGGGGGGCAGAATGTTGGTTTTTTCTCAGGGCTCAGGACGTTTTACACTTCGAATGAACCGCGAATTGGCACGAGCAGGTTTGGACTGGGAAGAGGAGCGTGGGGCGCAGATCCACCGTTTGACGAAGAAGGCGACCGTGTGCTAATTCATTAACCCCACATGGAGTGTGCTGCTTCTGAATTCTTGCCTTCAAGACATTTCAAGACAGTTCCAGCGCCAGTTCGCAGTGTTGTGAGTGATGCTCTCTCGGTCGAGGTTGTGCAGAACAAGATTGCCCGCGCCATGCAACGCCGGGACGCGCATGTCAAGGACGCAGGGGTTGTTCGCAGACGAGCAGATCGTGCAACAATACGTATGTATGTATGTATGTATGTATGCATATATATATATATATATAATATACATATCTGTATATATATAAGCTCGCCCCCCCCCC